GCATTTGCTTTAGGATTTAATTTAGATCTTTAGAAGTGGCACTTATAACTTTTAAATACATTTTATTGAGATTGAGTAGTGCTACTGAGCGACACGCTGTTCTGGACAGCAGTGACACTCCGGTGGAAAACGCTCTAGTAGGGAAAGTGTTAATATAAGTTTGTTTTTGCGTTTTGAGCAATATTCAGAGATATTAATTTTAAGAGCAAAGTATTAGTCGTATCTCTATCACTTGAAAACAATAATAATTTAGATTTAATACTTTATATCATAACTAGTGGGGTGCATGGCATCGTGCCTTAAGGTAAATTGCAGGAACTTTTGTTTAAATTTACGCAAAATGCGGTACACATTTTGTAAATCTCTATAAAATATCTGATAATTTGATGTGCATATGTCTAATGATCATTTTTGATCGTCAAAAGGCATTTTTAACTTACTTTTATTGAGACCGCTGCATTTGCCCTCCCAAAAATTTAGTCAGTTCTTCATCTTGTCAATACAAGTAAAATGTTTTTTGTATTAGTAAAATCGGACGCGCACCGTTCTCTTAAAAACAGAGTTACTGTTTTTGGCACGTTTTGCCCCGTATCTTTGGAACGGCTAGACCTGCCTTCGCCAAAAACTAATCAGCACGTCTCCTTATCAATACGAATCGAATGTTCTTTTGAATATTTCATATTCGTTGATCCGTGCTCCCGAAATCGTCGACGAAAAATTGTATCCGCACACACACACGCATGCACACACGCCTACATCCATTTTTTCTAAGGTATGCCAAAATGTTCAGAAACCCTTGAAACGTAAAGTTTTTTGCGATTACTATAACTTGCCCTATGGGAAGTACAAAATGACCATTTTTCATCGAATTTATTGCAGTCATTACCAAAGTTTTTACCATTTTCATCTTTCCATACTTTAGAAATATGATTTAGAATAATAAACTATATATCGAATATCGAATAATAAACTATATAAAGGTAAATCTGATTAAGTTGTACCATAGCCTAAGTCGTACCCTGTTTATAATTTGTTCAATATTTATACACATTAGATAGTATGTGCAACTAAGGCTGTAAATGGTATACTAGGAAGAGGACTAGACATTATAGCCCCGCTGCTAGTACATTTTTGAAAGAGGCGAAGAGACTTATTTTAATAAAAATGCTAATCACAAGCCTAATAAATTGACTTAGTTTAATATAAATGTTAATCACAAGCCATAATAATGTACTATATACATACTTGAGATTTTGTTTTAGTTGAATTGCACTCATAGTCAATACAATGTCTACGTTTTCTCGAGTTCTACTAGACTGATTTACTAGAAATTTTCAGAGAATCTTTTTTATAGACACCTTGCTGGTATATACCAGACTCATCCCCCAATTTCAATTTTTTTAAATTCGAGAAACTCGAAGTAGTAAAAAAACGGCGTGAAAGTGTTAAAAAAGAGATGTTGGCGTTGCATGATTACCTCGCAATTTTTTGAGATGCCCCACTTCTACAACTGCTAACTCTAGAAAATTATAACTTTTTCTGTATCTTTAACATTGATAAATAAATTATAAAAAAAATTATAGCGAAAAAATGAATTACCTTTTTACCATAATTAAAAATGACAAAAAATTCATGTCTCTATACTAGTGTACTCATTAAGGGGACAACTTAAGCTAGTTGGTAATTAATATTTATTTTTTCTTAAATCCGTATATTGTGCTATTTATCACAATGAATTTTAAAAATTTTATATTGCATATTTCTATTATAGTTTCATCATTAGAAGTGTTTCCATCGTCCGACCCTGCCGTTGTATTTCTGTCTCCACTTTCGCCTCAAACACGACGCAAAGTCTGCCGAAACACAGAAGTGATTACGTATTCAATTGGCGCATCAAATCGCAATTATTCCCTAATTGTTTCGTGCAGTTCGGCTTCCCCGCGGCGCTCGGGTGTGGCTTGTGCCGCGACGCAGTCGTTTTGTGCGTGGCGAACGTTTTGCGCCTCTTTAGGCCGCGTGGGGCACAGAGGTTTTGGGGTAGAAAATGAAAAGGCTAACCAAACAAAAAAATGAAAGATTTTTATGTCTTCGAAGATATTTTCTTTTGTCGTTTCTCATTGTTACTCCTGCTTTTCCTTTTCATTACAAGGCAAACATGGTATTTGAAATTCCATAATTAAGAAATCGTTATTGTAAGCTCGCTATTGTAGGGTTCTTTCAGATACTATGAAAATTCAAAGTATAATAAATATTTTGTACATTTATCAATACGCAAATTATCATGTCAGTCATATGTATCTGTTCAGTTTTAGTTTAACCTTTGTAACTGTGGATATGATATTATTGAACAATATTTTCAGAAGATCAAATGGAAGATCCACGATTAGCTCCCTAGCTAAGATGCAAATTTTCAATTTGACTCAAACACCAGCATATACAGTAAAGTTTGTCGGTTTTCAAAAACCGGTTTTACAAACCGGTTTTTGGCGAAAATTATGGAAATCGAAAACCGTTTTTTTAGTGAAAAAAGTCGATTTTTACTGTATAAATGGAAAATGACAAATATAGCCAAATATAAAAGATAGTTGAAAGCGTATTGATTCTTAAAATCATATCGGTTCATGAGCATTTTGATATGATTTATCAGTTGTTGCAATGGTTCCCAGAATTTGTATATATTTAGATTTTTATACCAGTGTATATATTAATCAG